GATACGACAGCGGAAGTCACGTGACGCTACTGGCGCGTTGGCGCTGGTGGCGTGCATGATGAGTTTCTCGAAGTCCGAGTGTGTTCGAGATGCCCTCTTCGTTAGTATATAAGCCTGGCAGTGAAAGCCAGCTGGGATGAATTAAAATAGAGCAGTAGTTACTTTGAGTTCCGTGTAATTTGTGATTCTGTTAGTTTCGAGCTAGTGAGCCGTAAAATGTGTTTTGTACTCATCGAGAGTTAAGTTCGAGATCACTGAAGATCTTCGGAAAGAATTTCTACCAGAAACAAACAAACAAACAGATACATAACAGTAATATTTAAAGGCTTAGAAGGATTTGTTAACACCGATTTGTTTCAATAAGGGTAAAGTTTATGATACTGTAGTTTTATCATGTGAGTTTGTAGCAGCTGATATCTTTCTAATACGTTTATATAGCAAACTTTTAATCAATCCTACAGTCACAGAAGAAAATATCGACAAAATCATCTGCCTTTATTTGATAGCGATGAGTTCAGGATTTTGTAGATGGTTTTGTCTTGAAGCTACCATAAAGATATATTTATACAGGCTACCGCTCGTAGAGTTTGAAATAAATAAAGAATATAATGTATTAAACTTCATTTCAAAAGTCAAAAGTTATTGTTTCTCTTATTTTAGATACACTTAGTGTTTAATTCTTGAACTGAGTTGAAAATGTTGGCATTTCAAGTGAAAGAACATGAGCTAACGACATTTTTAGTTAATTTAGAAGTTGATAACATCCATCTGAAGTCGGATCATTTATTATCTAACTTTTAGAATAGCTCCCACATCTCAGAAGTGATTTACCTTAGTGACATAAATACCTTCCTACACTTTAAAAATACCCAAGGAAAACAGGAAGATTGGTTTACTCGTTCGCCAGTTATTCTGAATGATAGTAATGTTAATTTAAACATAATAATGGTAAATAACTAATCGATGTTAAAAATAAATAAATAATGTAGTGTTACTAATTCGTACCCTAAACATCTGATTTGTCAATGACTGATATAAAATTTATAATAATTACAATTCACTTACTTAATCTATTTCACACCACAACAGTTATTGTGCATGGAAATTGATTTTATAAATAACACCTCGACCATTGCTACGTATGTTGTATCCTGGACAGCCTGATAAGACCTAGTAGTAATGGTATTAGACAAAAGCGTTCGTCGGCACAGGATGTAGTGTGTTTGATGTTTTATAATATATTATCATTTGCTTTTACTCACAAGTTTTTAGAATTACACATTCTAGCAGTTTTCAGCCGTTATCTAATTAGTTTTTATAATTTATAGAAGTTTAAATATTGAAAGAATACTCTACTTGTAGAGCATTAGGGTTAGTTAAACACTTCTCGTCATTGACGTGTAATTTTATTTTGTTTAAGTTGACGTTTAGGATTTTTAAGTTTATCGTAGCAATCACAAAACTAATTGTTTCTAGTCTTTAAACTTGACTTGGTTACAAAAAACGCACATTTTTCGTAAGCGATATGAATTAAATGTTGTAGTAAACAAGAAATCCAGTAAAATTTAAAGCGAGATGTAATTGATGATAATACTAATGTTGAATCACTTTATCAAAAACTTCTAGTACTGTTTGGAAAAGGTGTGTTGTGCATGGAGTTCTTCCATAAGAAGTGTGGTACTGTTTGCAAAGACGTATTATACTTATTTTCGAAAGTTTCGATACACTCAGCAGAGGTGGTCCTAAACCATTGTGTTTAGTTCCACGGTTTCCCAGAATTTATCTTTAATTTTCAATAACGTTGTTCATTCTTATTGAAACGAGGTAAACTTATAAAGTTATTATCTAAATAACGCATTTATTACTTGTTTTAGTGGCATTACAATTTTAATGCCAGTACCTTGTTTTTACTCCAAGCAATTGTCGTTGTCAGAGTTAGGCAACAATACGAGCTGTAGCTCAATAGTTAATTCCCATTGAGGTGAGAACCCACAAGAAATATAATAGAAGTGATGACCCTGTGACATCACTTCGGACACTCTCTGATGTCATCAGATCACCGTGATTTTCGAATCCTAGAATATCAGTAAAGTTTTGTACTTCATAAATCCGTACAAGGTCAATATGACATACGAAGAAAATATGTTGTTGTATTTTTTTTACCTTGCATAATTAATTTTTGTTTACACATATTAACAACACAAACAGGGGAATAGAAGTATCCAAACTTACATATAAAAATAATAAATTTCTCAAAATTTCATGATCTTTCTTTTATTACAGTTGAAACAACCCGTTTGTACAATACGTATAAACGTAGATCAAAATTAAACACTAGGAGGACATAAGACAGTGATTCGCCAAAGTAAAACAAATACTTCCATATCTATACATATAATTTATTTTCACCATTATTTACAAGTGTGTACTTCTTTTTCAAATGCAAATTCAGGCTGTGCAACACACGTAACTATAGGTTAGGTTCAACGAATAATTGTGTGCACGTGTTTCTCATGCTGTAGTGTTTAATACTTAAGTACAAAGGCTTCAGATAAACATGCAAGTATGGTGGAATGCTCTTGCGTTTGAAGCGGCAGTTAGTTCTTTCTCCATCCTGCATATTTGTAAAAGAAAAATGAAGACACGATAATATTTGAGTGAAATGAAATATGGATCTTGTGTCACGCGTAAAGAATCAAATTTCCATACTTCGTGTATAAGGGAAAATATGCAACTGTGAACCGGTTTCTAAAAGAACAGGATATCAATTCGCATCATGATGAAAAAAAAAAACCCTTGAAAAGTTAGGATGAATTAGAAACTATAGCCTGCTAGGTCGTTTGTTATTATTTAAGATAATAAAATAAGAATTGTAACCTAAATAATAAGCTATATGTAATCTGACATTTCAAATTATTACAGAGTCATCTTCGACTCATGAATGTTAAGATATTTCAACTGAAATCTTTTAACCGTTTTCAGATGTTACTAATTTAGTTTGTTTGTTTTTAGCTTCAACAGCCCAGTTTTTATAAATTATGTAGTTTGATGTTATTAGGTTCTTTGCTTTAAAGATTTTAAAATTGTTATTAAGTAATTTGCTGAAAACTGTTAACTGACGTAGAACGTTTGTTTGTTTGTAATTAAGCACAAAGCTACACAATGGGCTATATGTACTCGTCCCAGCATGGGTATCGAAACCCGGATTTTAGCGTTGTAAGTCAGCAAACATACCGCTGTGCCACTGGGGGGCGACGTAAAACGTGCTACGTATTTACACAATGGTTGAGCTACTCTGGATTTTACTCGCAAAAAGTAAAGATGGTGGTAAAATTTCATTCGTTTTTACAACATCAGAAACTTGTAAAACTCATGATTAGGTTGAGTATATCCTGAAGTGTGATATGGTGTAAATTATAACCTACGAAATAAATATCATTTTCGAGGTAGAATACATGATTAGGAAAATAAAATTATTTACTTAGACTTAGTTAAAGGGCAACCATAAATCATAGAAAAAATCATTTATATAATTTGTTTTATTACTTTTCGTAATCAAAATAGTAATTGGTGGAATAAGAATGAAAGTCGCGGGTTCGAATCCCCGTAACACCAAACATGCTCGCCCTTTCAGCCGTGGGGGCGTTATAATGTGACGGTCAATCCCACTATTCGTTGGTAAAAGAGTAGCCCAAGAGTTGGCGGTGGGTGGTGATGACTAGTTGCCTTCCCTCTAGTCTTACACTGCTAAATTAGGGACGGCTAGCGCAGATAGCCCTCGTGTAGCTTTGCGCGAAATCTATAACAAACCAAACCAAAAAATATGTATTTGGGGTCATTACTCCCTACGTTTGGAGATCGATTATAAATATATTCTAGATATCCCCAACTTAATCTGCCTGTGCAGAAAACCTACTAAAGATAAAAACTCATTTGTTTTTTGTTTTTTTTTCTATCCGTAGGTCATGAGTTTCCAAGAAAGCCTTTTTAAATTGACTTAGTGATTTAACATTTGTATTTCACTTGTTTAAGTAAAATATTTTATATTTCTTGTTTCTTTACAACATTTTGATATTTTCACAACCACTTTAGTCAGATGTTTTGACGTACAGAAAAGTAAAAATGTCTAATCCGTTTATCGTAATTCTAAGTATTTTTTGGAATGAGTTAAACTGAATTAATTATCATATTTTATCTCGAGGTTTTAAGGTAAACGAGTCGAATTTTTAATAACGTTTTTGTAATCTAACAGGATTCGACAAGCAGTGGTTACGGCAGTAGCTCTTCTACTGACAGTGTTAAAACGTGGAAATTAACAGGACTGAATAATTTAGGAAATACGGTGGGTAAAATTCAAACAGTGTCAGTTTTATAAAACTCTTGTTATCTAAAGTTTTTGCTTGGGCTATTATCAAATGTTAGAATAGAATATATCAGTACTACGTATATGTGTAACTATGGTGTAGGCAAGATAAGATGTATTGTCGAGTCAGTCTCTTAATGCCTTAGATAATTTTTGTAACTTTTTGGAAACTTTACAATAAAAGTATATCTGGTTATTTTAATATTAGTTTGCTTGTGACTGACATTTATTGGCATGAACATGAAGAACTAAACTCGTGTATAATTATCATTAACATGCCTTCTTCAAAATGAAGAAACAAAAAAAAATTATTAATGATTTAAAAGTTATTCAATATATATCATTCTCGGCTTTTATTTGACCAACGATTTGAGATTTCAAATAATAAAATCCGCGAGTTTTCATGTACGTTTTCTATATTTTAATTTAAACAACAGCTTAGACCTTTAAAAATCTAAAACCCGTACTAGCAGTATAAATGTAGGTCACCTTTTACTAGGGTAAATAACGTGTATATCTGGGCCACAAGTAGTGATAACAAAAGGTTGGTATAACTTGTGGATACGTCAAGATAGTGCAGAATTTCTATGAACTTGAATAGTTGTTACTAATTTTTAAGATAATATATGAGTGAAGTGAAATATGTATCTTGTGCCAGAATTCCTATGAACTTGGAATAATTATAAATAAAGCAATATTTAAAAATAAGTTAGATAGAAGAAAGACCGTTTTAGACAAAAGTCATTCGACTGTTACGCCATTCAAGTGTTGTTGTCTGGAGTTTGTATTTAGTCTTGTCTAGAGATTTATACTGTGAGTAGAACATTTGTTTAATGTAAACTGAAATTGCAATTGATGACCTAAGGAGTTAACCCCTTAGGTCAATTAAAGCACTCACTGCTTAGAGGTCTCGAGTTCAAATCCGAGCCAAGGATATACAAAAAAAAACAAAAAAAACTGAGATTATTGCACATAATGATAACGACAACAAGTTCCACATGATTGAGTAACAGGGGACGTAAAGCGGAGCTCAAATCTGAGGCAACCAAACATATAGTAGAAAATTTGTGATTTGATCATAGTTAATCATACTTCCTAGACCAGAGCAAAATAAAGCAAACTTTTCTATATGAAAAAAAGTTTTATAGAAATGATTGCTACAAACAAAAACCACTGTTATTTGGTTGAGAGAAATTGACACAATGTGCAGTTTTTATATAAACGTTCTGGAATGATTAACGTATCCTAATCAATTCGAGCTATATTTTAATGACATTTTAATATCAGGACTAAAAAAATAAGCATCATTTTGAATGTCTTTTTTAATACAAAAATCTTTATTAAAAACTTGATATGCATTTCTGGAAAATTCATATGTTAATGTAAAAGGCGTCTAAGTGAATTTGTATAATACGTTTGTTACTTATTATATAGTACTATAGTTACATGACTGAGCATTTATATCCAGTAATATTATGATAGCCATGTTGCTTTACAAACAGGCACAAAATATTATTAAACTATAAATAGAATAACATTATTTAAAATAAATTTAAGTCCTTTTCTCAACTCTTAGTCAAACAAAAATAAAGTAAATCTTTATTTTGGTTTATTTGGAAACTTAACTTTATTGATATAATTTATTTTTTAAAACAGTGTTTCATTAACGCAATAGTACAATGCCTTTGTCATACGGAACCTTTATTTGAATACTGTATCCATGGCAACTATGAAGATGACATTAATACTACAATCAGCAACATGAAAGGAGAGCTCATGAAGGGTAAGCATGTCGTTATTGTATATAAGTAGTTTGATATTTGATCATTTACCCAAGGCACAAACAAATGTTTGGGGGGGAAAAATCATAGATCAGATTTCTTGTAATGTGCTGTTATATTAAATACTTTTGTATATTTAGAAATTTCAGGGCTATGTAATACTGCCACACATACACATGGGCGCAACTACTGGTCGGATCAAGTTTACGCCCCCCCCCCCCCCTCACATTTCAGTTGCTAGCTCGATTTAACACTGGCTCCATAGCTATT